ATAATAAATTGTATTTTCAACTTTTTTGTGTAGTTAAGGGATCCACCCATTTTACTCTATGAAGATACAGACCATTCATTTCAGCTGTGCATAGTGTTCAGTTACATAAATGTACCACAACTTTTATTTAGTTCTCTATTAATTTACTTTTTTCTTTTTACACAGTGCTACAGTGAAGATATATCTCTGTACATTGCACCTTCCCTCCCAGTGCTGGCAAATGTTTTAGTATTTTACCAATCTCATCTGACCAGGATTTCCCAAATCTGTCCTTACCTAATAGTAAACCAAATTATGCTAAACACTCAGAATTCTTGGTCTTTGTCCTTGAGATTCTAGGTCAGAAGGTTGGTGAAGGAGTCCAAAAAGTTTTGATTTTTCAGTAGTACTTTCAGAAAGATTATAACAATTTAAACTTTCACATGCATTGTATGGCAGTGTCTGTTTACCCACATTCTTTATGTTACCAATTTGAAGTGCAATATGATAAACATATGTACCTGTATGTGAACAATAGAAAATGATTTGTGACACAATGTACCCATGACTCAGATTTGTAGCTGAGTGATATTTAGCACTTTTCTTTGCAATCCTCACACTATCTACTTCCGAACCATTTGTTAGGACAAGTGGACAGAGCATAGTGTGTTGTAAGGGTTAATTTTATATTTCATGTTGACTGGGCCACAGGGTGACCAGGCATTTACTTAAACATTATTTCCAGATGCATCTGTGACGATATTTCTGAATGAGATTAATATCTGAATTGATAAAGTAAAACAAATTGCCCTCCCTAAAATGAGTGGGTCTCATCCAATCCATTGAAGGCCTGCATAGAATGAAAGGCTAAGTAAGAAGGATTCCTTTCTCTCTGCCTGTCATCAAGCTAAAACATTGATCTTTTGCCTTCACACAGGGACTTGGACTGGAACTTACATTACAGGTTCTCTTGCATCTCAGGCCTTCAGACTCAGACTGGAACTATGTTATTAGTTCTTTGGGTTTCCAGCTTGCTAACAACAAATCTTGCAACTTCTCAGCTTCTGTGATTGTGTGATCCAACTCCTTTTAATAAAGTCTCTTTCCCAAGTGTTTGGCCTCTGCCACTCATGTGAGAGCCCTGGATGAAGCTACTGGCTTTGGGCTGGCCCAGCCCTGGACATTGTATCCATTTGGGGAGTGAACCAGCAGATGGAAGATCTCTCTCTCTCTCTCTAACACTGCCTTAAACAGAAAGAAAGAATGAAGAAGAGAGAGAGAGAGGGAGAGAGAGAGGGAGGGAGGATTGGATGGATGGATGGATTGATGGATGGATTTCTATTCATCCTACAAAGTGCAAATCATTAGCTGAACCTGTAATCTCTTGAATCGTGGGATATCATGACAGTATAGGGCTTTAGTCCAACAGCATATGTTTTCATTAGCCACCATGTAACTACTACCCTGATCCAGATGTAAAATATTACTAGCTCCTGCAAAGACTCCCTCTTGTCATTCTCCCAGCTGTTTTGACCACTGGCCTTATGCAAAGTTCTCTAGTGTTCTAAGTGCTAATTCTAATCAATTTTTCCTGTAAGATATCAAAGATATATGGGTCCTGAGTTCAGCAACATTAGTTTTCATAGAGCAAAGCTGTTTTCTAAATAGATTGCAATACCTACTCAGTTATTAACACTCACTACAGGAATCTTTCATTTCACTGTTGGGTTTCCTCTCCCTAGTGGTGGTGTTTTAGTTAACCTCCCAGAATGAAGTAAACTGGCTTTTCTCTAAATACCTTTGAACCCCTAGATGACAAGTTGTTATGAGAGAGCAAAGTGGGATTTATGAGTATTTTTGTATCCTTATTTACATTTTTCTGCATTCTGTACTTTTTTGTATTAAAATTCTAGCTATATGATAAGCCCTTCTAAAGAAAAGCATTATTTCAGCTAAAGAGTAAAGCCCCTACTTCATTAGATATGGCCATTCTAACTCTAGAAATTTAGCCTACAAGAGTTGAGTAATCTGGGAAATATGTAAATAAAAGGAAGTCCATAGAAGCACTGATGTAAAAATGAGTCATACAACCACCACAATGTCAATCAACAAAAATGTGGTTCCATAAGTTATTAGCATACTAGTGAATGTTTCTGTATCTAAACATAGGAAAGGTAAAAATGGCCACCTGTGCAGAGCACTTTCCATGAATGGAGCTTACAGCACTGGAAGTTGCTCTGAGTAGGTAAATCAGTGAGTGTGAAGGTCTTAGAATATTACTGCACACTAATATAAACTCCACACTGTGCACTTAGCCTGCACTAAATTTATTTTATATATACTTTCTTCAATAATAAATTAAACAGCTTTACTATACCTTTTCTACATTATAAACTTTTTACTTTTGAACTCCTAAAATAACGCTTAGCTTAAAACATGGAGATATTACATAACTGTACAAAGTTTTTTCTTTACATCCTTTTCCATAAGCTTTTTTTCTGTTTTCAAAATGTTTATATTTGGGGTGGGTATTGTGGAACAGGAGGTTAAACCACCACTTGGGATGCCTGCAACCCATATCAGAGTGCTGGTTCAAGTCTCAGCTTCCCCACTTCCAATCCAGCATTTCTGCTAATGCATGTGGGAAAGCAGTAGATGATGACCCAAGTACTTGGGGGGTCCCTTTCACCCATGTGGGAGACCCGGTTGGTGTTACTGGCTTGTGGCTTCATCCTGGCCCAGCCCCAGCAATTGTGGCCATTTCATTTGGGGGAATGAACCAGCTCATAGAAGATTCTCTCATTCATTCTCATTCTCTCTTGCTCTCGCTCTTACTCTTACTCTCGCTCTCTCTCCTTTACAAATAAAATTAATATAAATAGGCCGGTGCTGTGGCTCACTTGGCTAATCCTCCACCTGCGGCACCGGCACCCCAGGTTCTAGTTCCAGTTGGGGCACCAGATTCTGTCCCGATAGCTCCCATTCCAGTCCAGCTCTCTGCTGTGGCCCGGGAAGGCAGTGGAGGATGGCCCTAGTGGGAAACCAGGAGGAAGCACCTGGCTCCTGGCTTCAGATCAGCGTAGCACGCTGGCCGTAGCAGCCATTTGGGGGGTGAACCAACGGAAAAGGAAGACCTTTCTCTCTGTCTCTCTTTCTCTAACTCTGCCTGTCAAAAAATAAAAAAATGAATATAAATAAATATTTATAAAGCAGTTGGGCAATTCTGAATCAGCATGGTATGCTCTGTCCCTAGTGGCTGAATCCAGTGGAGAGGGACACACAATGAATTGAAATTTAACCTCATCCCAATCAAGCTTTGCTAGAAATTACTACCATTTTATAGGAAACAGTGAGGAGGCATATATTGATGATGATGCCACCAAGATCCAGATTGAGAAAATATAGACTATGTTTCATCAACAATTACACTGAAGGGGAAATTTACAAGTAAGAACCTATCTATCAGGGGCCAGCACTGTGGTGTAGCAGGTAAAGTCACTGCCTGCAGTGCTGGCATCCCATATGGGTGCCAGTTCAAGACCCAGCTGCTCCACTTGCGATCCAGCTCTCTACTATGGCCTGGGAAAGCAGTAGAAGATGGCCCAAGTCCTTGGGCCCCTGCACCCGCGTGGGAGACCTGGAAAATTCTCCTGGCTCCTGGCTTTGAATTGGCTCAGCTCCAGCTGTTGCGGCCAATTGGGGAGTGACCCAGTGGATGGAAGCTCTCTCTCTACCTCTCCTTCTCTTTTTAACTCTGACTTTAAAATACATAAATAAATCTTTTCAAAAAAGATAAATTATTTTTTAAAAATAACCTATATATCAAAAGAAATGTAGGTGATATAGCAATCAATCCAAATGTGTGGATCTTTTTGTTATCTTTTTAATTTTTAATGTATGCATAGTAATTGTACATAATGGAGCACAGTGTGACATTTTGATATATATATAGGTACAATGTGTAATGATCAAATAGAAGTATTTTGCACGTCCATCACCTCACATATTTATCATTTATTTGTGTTGGGAACATTCAAATCCCTTTTACTAGCTATTTTTAAAATATTCAATTAATTGTTCACTATCACTGTACTATTGTGCAATAGAACATTTGAAGGTATTTTTCTATCCAACTTCAACACATTAATATTATGACTTGGGAATTTGAATAAGAATTGGACATAAAATGAGATCAAAGAATTGTTAACTATTAGATGTGTTACCAGTATTGTGGCTTTATTTAAAAAGAATGTTCTCATCTTGTAAATATGCACTTTTAAATATTTTTGCCCAAAGTGATATTGTTTAGAATTTGCTTCAAAAATAGCATCTAAGGGTGGGCAGTAGGTGAGAACAAAGATGAAACAATGTTGGCCATTAGTAAATTGTAGAAGCTAGGTAATAAGTACATGGATTTATATTATACTATCCTATTTTTACATGTGTTTGGAATTTCCTATAAAGTTAAAATAAAGGTACTAGAAATTATGAAGAGAATGCATTTATTTTAGTCAAAAAAGGGGGGGGGACAAAACAGACTGGTACTAAGAAGAATTAGGAAAAAAAATTACTCTCATTGACTCATTTTCTGTTGCCACTTTCCCCCCACCCCCCGGGGAATTCTGGTGTCCAGAAAACTGGGTTTTGGGAGCAAGAAGGACCTCAGTTTGGGAATGAGGTGGGTAGGGCAGATGTTCTTTGCATTTAAAATTTTGACATCTTGCTCATCAGATTTTCTTGCATTAATTGTATCACTTTTAAAATTGCCTTAAAATATTGTTTCTCCTGAATCCTGGGTTTTTGTTTTTGTTTTTTTGCATCCCCTTAACTTCTGTACTTCAGCTCTGGTAATGAGGGGAGGGGGAATCTTGGGAGCAGAATTAAGGGAAGTAGGAATTGCCAACTGCCCCTGAGAAGATACTGCCCTTCCCTAGCAGAGAGGCCCAGGAATACACAAGGGAGGGTGGTAGATCTCAGGCTAGTGACGTTAAAAGGGACTTGGAGAGAGGGTGAGTGGGAGGGGGTCGGGCCGACAAGCCCCGCCCAACTCCAAGGGGCAGGAGGGGGCGCAGGATGGAGGTGGGGCCGTTGCGGTGACGAAAGCCTAATGTCATCTGCAAGCTCTGCTTCCATATCTCCTTTCCAGCTTGAGAGTCAGGCGGGCTTCTCGGCGCTACCTGTTCCCGGGGGCCCTCAGGGCTTGCGGTCCAGGGGCAGCCGGGGAGAGCAGGAGGCTGCAGGGCGGCAGGTGAGGGGCCCGAGTAGGGGTCCCTAGGGTTGGTGAGGGAGAGCTGCCTGGTGCCGCCGCCCACCTCAGGCATGGGCGCCCCGAAGCGGAGCAACAGAGAGCACCTGCGGGTGGCAACTGAGGGGCCCGCAGGTGGGCGCCCCGGGGGCGATGGCTGACCTGCCCCTGCCCCCCCCCCCCCCGGCTACGGGCCCCCCGGGATACCTGCTCCCCTGCGCGGCGCCAGCTTCTCCGCACCCCCGGCCCGCCCCCTAGCTCCTGGTGGTCGGCGGGGGACGCGGCGGCTGAGGGCCAGGACCCGGGCGCAGGGGAGGGCAGCGGGAAGGGGTCGATGCAGGACAGCGGGGCGGCGGGACCGGTGGGGGCGTCGAGGCAGCGCGGAACCCTGGGCTGCAGCCGCCCGCTCTCCCCGACCCCGCCGTCTGCAGGTCTGCAGGTCTGAGGCGCTGAGTGTCGCCGCGGGGCACCGGGGAGGAGCGTGCGGAAACCCCATCTGGGACCCCAGACCCCTCCTTGGGCCGTGCCTCCCCCTCCTCATTCTGCCCGCCCCGGTCCTACCCGGTCCTCCGCGGTCCTCCCCGCCATTCTCCATTTTTGTGCCTACTGAGGCCTGGAGATGGACCTGCAGGGAAAATGGTGGTCTTCGGGGGAGGGAGGGGCTCGGAGTGGGGCCCCTGGAGGACGCAGGGGGCCTCTCAGGGTCGGAGAGTGACGTTTGCCAGCGGCCTGGGCATCTGGAAAGGTGCATAGTAGGGCCTCTGTCCTCGGTGCTGATCCGTCCACCAGGGATTCAGGCTCTCTCTGTCTTTTGTCTCCTAGGAGAAATGGAGTCCAAAGAGGAACAAGCAGTGAAAAACCTCAGCGCGGAAACTGTCGACCAGGAAAACGAAGGAGAGGAGCAGACCCCTGTGCAGAATGAAGATGAAGCCCTCCATTTGGGAGGGAGTGAAGGCCAGAAGCCTGAAGGAAGTGTCAGGCGGGGGCGAGTTAGGCGACTTGTCCCTAACTTTCGATGGGCCATACCTAATAGGAATATTGATCACAGTGATGTGGGAGATGATGTAGAAAGGTTTGTTGGTCAGATGATGGAAATCAAGAGAAAGACGAGGGAACAGCAGATAAAACATTACATACGCTTCCAAACTCCTGAACCTGACAATCATTATGACTTTTGCCTCATACCGTGAACCCTAAAGTTTTCCTTGAAGTCAATAATGTGGCCATTGTTTTACAAGCTTGTATTTTTTCTGATTTTTTTCTGTAATCCTTGTGTTTCCACTATATTTATTTACCTCAGTCTAAGTTTCTGTCAGCATAGCAATTGCATCTGTTTTGCAAAAAAAAAAAAAAAAAAAAAAAAAAAAAAAAAAAAAAAATTTCTTTCTATAATTTGAAATCAATAAAACAGTTTAGAAGGCATTCTATATATTCCATCATCTTACTCTTCTACCCAGTCTTATTTTTTCCTTAATTTTACTGTTTTCTCCCAGCTACGCAGACTCAAAATCTGAGTTATCTTTGACAATTTTTTTCTTGCTTCAAGCCAATCATTATGGAATGAACATATACTTTATTCAGTATCTGACATCATTTTAAGAGTGTATGTCTTAGTAGTTTTTAAAGAACATGAGTCTGTTAGTGCAAAAAACACTTTGGGGGGAGAGAGGTTTAAGAATGTAAGACCTCTGGCATGCATCCTCCAGATCCAGAATGGAATTTTACGATTGTCATTTTTAACAAACACTCAAGGTAATTTTTTTTTAGATTCATTTATTTTATTTGAAAGGCACAGTTACAGAGAGGCAGAGGCAGAGGGAAAGAAAGGTCTTCCATCTGCTGATTCACTCCCCAAATGACCACAATGGCCAGAGCTGAGCTGACCCAAAGCTAGGAGCCAGGAGTTTCTGTCAGGTCTCCCACAAGGGTGCAGAGGCCCAAGGACTTGGGCCATCTGCTGCTGCTTTCCCAGGCCTTATCAGGGAGTTGGATTAGAAGTGGAGCAGCTGGGACTCAAACCAGCACCCATATGAGATGCCACCACTGCAGGCGGTGGCTTTACCTGCTTCTGCTTGGCCCAGCCCTGGCTGTTGTGGCTATTTGGGGAGTGAAACAGTATATGGAAGATTCATTTCTCTCTCTCTCTCTCTCTCTCTCTCTCTCTGCCTTTCAGATAAATGAATAAATCATTTAAAAAAAAGCCCAATATTACAAAGGCAAACATCAATAGCCCAGACCCAATAAAAATGGTTTGATTATCTCTGAAAAATACAAAGGCATAGAATGAGCAGCAAGGAAAACATATGCACATGTAGGTTAAAGAAGTCTTTTAATATATGATGAAGTGATTCAATCAAATCAAAAATGAAAAGTTATGTTAATCAACAAATTTCCTTTTTCTACATTTTGCTGGCCTGGGAACTAAGCACTAATGTGTGGTTTCCAGAACGATGTCTCTCAGTCTAAGGGAGCAGCATATCATCTCCAACACCCCTCAGTATTAAGAGGTATTGCTGAGGGGCCAGTGCTGTGGTGTAGTAGGCTAAGCTTCCTCCTGTGGTGCCGGTGTCACATATGGGCACTGGTTTGTGTCCAGACTATTTCTTCTCTGATCCAGCTCTCTGCTATGGCCCAGGAAAGCACTAGAAGATGGCCCAAGTGCTTGGGCATTTGCACCTACGTGGGAGACCCAGAAGAAGCTCCTGGCTCCTGGCTTCGGCGCAGCTCCAGCCATTGCGGCCAGTTGGAGAGTGAACCATCAGATAGAAGACCTCTCTCTCTGTCTCTCCCTTTCTCTCTGTAACTCTACCTCTCAAATACATAAATAAATCTTAAAGAAGTATTGCTGAATAAAACTCCACTTATGTATGACAAACATAGGTACCAAACAACAAAAGCTTGTAATAACCAGTCTTATCTTCTAAGAAATAGGAATATAAAATAGAATCTCTGGTCTCCTATTTACTAGGTGTGTGATCCTGGAAAATTCTGAGTCTCAGTTGATGGCCCCATCTATGGAGACTAATGATATTTCAATTTGGCTATAGGCTTTTGGGAAAGACTATCACCACACTTTGTGACATTATAGCAAGTTCCTTCCTCACCAGGCTCAAGGCAAGGCATTTGAACTGACTCAGATTTTGTAATCAAGAAAGACTATCTAGTGGCTCATAGCAGACCTTCTGTTTGCTGTACTTATGGGATTTTGATAATCCAAATTAGGTAGGAAATTAGTGCGTCACCTAGCCATTTCTCCTTGCTGATAAATACATTCGTGTTTCAGGGTAGTCAAACTGCCATTTTTTAAATTTTTCCAAAATTCTAGGGGCTTAGCAAACTGAAATTTTAATTTTCTTTTTTTTATTGACAGAGTTAGAGAGAGAGAGAGAGAGAGAGAGAGAGAGAGAAAGGTCTTCCTTCCATTGGTTCACCCCCCAAATGGCCGCCACGGCCGGCGCACTGCACCGATTTGAAGCCAGGAGCCAGGTGCCTCCTCTCATGCGGGTGCAGGGCCCAAGGACCTGGTCCATCCTCCACTGCTTTCCCGGGCCACAGCAGAGAGCTGGACTGGAAGAGGAGCAACTGGGCTAGAACCCGGCAGCCCAACCAGGACTAGAACCAGGGGTGCCAGCGCTGCAGGCAGAGGATTAGCCTAGTGAGCTGCGGCACTGGCTGAAATTTTAATTTTCACTCATGTAACAATTCAGCACAGGTGATAGGGGATAGGATCTGCTCTGTGTAATCATTCAGGGATGAAAGTGGCTAGAAGCTGCACCATCTACAACATACAACTTTCAAGATTGCCTTGGGGGGCCAGCACTCTGGCATAGCAAGTAAAGCCGCCCCCTCCAGTGCTGGCATCCCATATGGGCACCAGTTCAAGTCCCAGCTGCTCTACCTCTGATCCAGCACATGCTATGGCCTGGGAAAGCAGTAGAAGGTAGCCCAAGTCCTTGGGCCTCTGCATCCATGTGGGAGACCCAGAGAAAGCTCCTGGCTCCTGGCTTTGGATCAGCCCAACTCCTGCCATTGGGGCAATTTGGGGAGTCAACCAGCAAATGGAAGACCTCTCTCTCTCTCTTTGCCTCTGCCTTTCTGTAACTCTACCTTTCAAATAAATAAATATTTTTGAAAAATGTTGCATTGGACATTTACATACACCTGGAAGACAGAAGAGAGAAGGCTCATGGAAAATTATGCTGATGTTTTTGTATGAGTAAGGCCTGAAATTGGCAAATATGACCTCCACTTATACTCCAATGGCCAGAAATCAGCCACTTAGCTGCAACACAGTACAAATAAACTATGAGTATGAACCTAGGGCAAAACTTGAAGAGAATTCAGCTAACATACATACTGTTTCTGCTACAGTATCACAGGATGACTTAGCTACTGACAACAATTCCTCCAACTCAGACTATTTATCTACCGTGACATTCCTGATGTGTGTTAAGGCAACCAGGCTTTCTTTGTCAGAAGTGATCAAATGCAGTTTTGTTTTTTTTTTTTTTTTAGTTTATCCTACCTGAGATCCTGGCATCACTATTAAAACAAAGTTTAGGAGTCATTTCCAGCACCCTCAACCTAAGGATAATAGCCATTCTAAAATCATAAAAATATGCTTACCTGTCCATTGTTCAATTTCTCGTTAAAGGCAGAATTTTCTGGTCCTCTCTTTGGACTTAGTTAGGAAGTAGATGGGTAAATAATGCAAGATAAGTATATGCCAACATTCTCTTTCCCATGGCAATCTTTTGCCGTTCCTCTCACTGATGTACACCATGTGTGGCCTCAACCATCTCCTCAGAAAGTTAGGTGCTAGGGTACCAGGCAGATGCCTACTCTCATTCTGCTTTATTGCCTTCTATAATGTTTAATTGGTGTGTCCCCAGGAATTTCAGAGGATTGGGATGTTGGCACTACAGGCAGCAGCTTAACCCACTAGGCCACGAGGTCGGCCCATGGTTTTCTCTTTAAGATCTACAAGACTGAAATCAAGGCATTATGTATCTGGATGCTTATATGGAAAATCAGAGGAAGATTCCCTAAGTTCATTAAGTTTGTTGATAGTAGTCAATTCTTTGCAATTATAGCACTTGTGTTCCTGTTCCTTTTCTGGATTTTAATAGGGGGCCACTCTCAGCTACTAGAAGTTTCTCTCGTTGTTGCACGTGGCTTCCTCCATATTCAAGTCCAGCAATGGTGAGGCATCCAAGCATTGTTATGCTTCAAATCTCTCTGACTTCCTTTACTGCCATAAGCCAAATAAAACTTTCTCCTTTTAAAGGGCTCATGTGAGTAGATTAAGCCTACCCAGACAATCTCCCTTTTGCTGACACCAAAAGGTAAAAATCAAAGGGGCCATCTTAGAACTCTGCCTCCCATATAACAGATGGGGCATCATGCTGCCAACTTACTGTCAAAGATTTGGCGGAAAATTACCTTCCAATGTTTATGTTAGGTATTTTTCTTCCAAATAAAAAACAAAAGTAGGCTCTCAGTTTTTCACTGAGATGCCTGCCTGGTCTGTCAGGTGAATTCTCTTCATTATTTCTCTTCATTATACTTTGCTAGGATATACAATACAAAAAAAAGTAAACATAAAAAATTTACAGTGCAATTCTGGTTCCAGATAACATGGAGTAAACATACTCCAATATTTTCTAGCACTGAATACAGCTATGAAAAATACACAGAAAGTATGGAGTGCTGTTTGAGATCTCTAAAAATAAGTATTAAATGGCAGGTAAGTATTGGGGAAGAACACCAGAATTTAAAATACCATCAAACTGGTAGATTTACACAAAACCCATCATTTCATAACAAACCAAAATTACTCAGCACACAACAAACCACAAAAATCTCAAAAAGCAGGGCTAGTATTTGGTGTAGCAGTTAAGACACCACTTGGGATGTCCACATGTCATATCCGAGTGTCTGGGTTTCATTCCTGGCTCTGCTTCTGATTTCAGCTTCCTGCTAATGCATACACTAGTATGGCTTATGTATTTAGGGCCCCATGCTCCTGGCTCCTAGAGTGGGGGACCTGAAGTGCGTGTATGGTTTCCTGACTTCAGCCTGGCCCAGCCCTGATTCCTGTATCTGAGAAGTGAAACCACAGGTAAAAGATCTGCATCTGTCTGACACTGTCCCTCTGCCTTTCAAGTAAGTTTTTAAAAATTAAAGAAATAAAAGCTTTTAATCTCAGAAAGTATGGTAAAAGCAATCAATAGACACCCGTGATGAGATAATGATACAGGGGTCCCTGGTTGGAGTTTTCAGAGGGCCAGCACACCCAGCCAAGTGGCCAGGAACATTTATCATCTATCACAAGGCTGTCCAGGTTGTTGTTGATTGGTTCCTGCTTCTTATAAGACCTGGCCCCCATGGACCTGTTTTGAGCACACCATGGACCTGTTTGAGCACTTCCCTATGCAATATGAGCTCAATGTTAGGTCAGTGCTGATTGGGTCCTGATTAAGAGAGAGAAAGATCAGGACAGGGCGGGGGGTGGGATTCAGGCCATATGATGGCCTCACTGTACAGTCACTCAATCCTCACTCTGGTGTCCCACCCCATCTCTTAGCTGACAGGCCATGCAGAAGGAAACTCCACCTCCTTCTGTGCACTGTGCCCTAGCGTGCTCCCCCCTCCATTCAATCCTGTCTCTGCCAATCCATGTGGCCACAAGTGGCATCATTGCCTATAATGAGAGTTTGCCCTTCTCTGGCTCCAAGGGAAGATTTGCATCCCTCCGCCATCCAGCTACCCCTTATCCCAGACCTTCCTTCCTGTTACCTGTCATTCCTGCCACCATCCTTCCTCCCTACCAGACTCTCAGCCACCATTGACCACCACATACCTTACTTTTGCCATGTGTTGGGGGGGGCGGGGGGCACAGGGATCTATACTGTGATTTTTACTGCGTCTCAATATTTTCCTGCATAGTTTATTTAAAAATCATAAATATAACAAAACTGTTTTCATTTGGGTGGAGAAAAGTCTTATAAAGGTATTTCTTTAACATTTCACTAGCTCCAGATTCAACTTTAGCATTACTCTTTTGTCATTGTTTTAATTTTATGTTGGGAACTTTAGAAAGAATGGAGAGATTTTAAAAACAGTTCTAGTTCATTCACCTAGTTTGAGGTAACTTGTTAACTTTGTAACCACGTACACTTCAATTAAAACACTACCTGATGGGGGCTGGTACTATGGCGCATCAAGTAAAGCTGCCTTCTGCAGTTCTGGCATCCCATTTGGGCGCTGTTTCGAGTCCCTGCTACTCAACTTCTGATTCAGCTCTCTGCTGTTGCCTGGAAAATCAGTGAAAGATGGCCCAAATCTTTGAGCTCCTGCACCTCCATGGGAGACCCAAAAGACGCTCCTGGCTCCTGCTTTCAGATCGGCGCAGCTCCGGGTGTTGTGGCTAATTGGGAATGAACCAGCAGATGGAAGACTTTCTCTCTCTCTCTCTCTCTCTCTCTCTGTGTGTGTGTGTGTGTAACTCTGACTTTCAAATAAATAAATAAATAAATAAATCTTTTTTAAAAATGTTACCTGAAAATTCTAAGGATATCAGAAAGGCAAGAGTGCCCAATAGAGAATTTGTTATTGTTGTCACAAGTCACTAAGTAATTATTAAAGTAGAAAAAACATTACTGTCCAAAATCCTCAACGAGCTGCATTTTGGCCTTGTATTAGTCAGGTCTTTGTTATTTTAACTAAATACCCAAGAGAAGCTTCTTAGGAAGGAAGAAGCTTTGTTTTGGCTCACTGTTTTGGAGGTTCACAATCCAGGATTGAGTGGCCCATTGGTCTGGTGTCTGATGAGTGTAATGGGTGGAAGAATGTGTCTATAAGGAGGCTCACACGGCAAGTCAGGAAGCAAAGAGAAAAGACAGGCCCAATTCAGCTTTATAATCAACTGTTTCTAATGAAACACCCTCAGAGGGAACCCCACCACCACCCATGACCTAAAGAACACCCACTGAGCCTTACCTTATAGATGTCATAATTGGATCCAATCTCCACCCTTTATCTATTAAGCATTAATGTCTGACTTTGGAGACCAAGCTTCCAATACAAGAGCCTTTGGGAGACACTCAAACTGTTATACAGCCATTACAGAGCTGTTTTGTCTCCAAAGTCTCTCTCTCTCTCTCTCTCTCTCTCTCTCTCTCTCACACACACACACATACACACACACCAGTCCAGATAGATGTATCTTTTATTAACAGTTCGGGTTTTGATCTCAAGCCTTCAAAGGGGGGTAAAGGGGTAATCTCTTCCATAACCTAGCATAATGAGTCATGCCCAACAACTCTGTAACAAAAGACAGGTTAACAAAAGGCAAAACAGGGGGCTGACACTATGGCACCAGTAGATTAAACCGCCACCTGCGACACCAGCATCAGCTGCTCCACTTCCAATCCAGCTCCCTGTTAACGCACCTGATAAAGCAGCAGAAGATGGCCCAAGAGCTTGGACCCCTGCCACCTATGTGGGAGAGAGCCAGATGCAGTGCCTGGCTCCTGGCTTCAGCTTGGCCCAGCTGTGGACGTTGCAGCAATTTGGAGAGTTAACTGATGGATGAACGATATCTCTGCCCATCCCCTCACTCTTCCATCAAATAAACAAATAAGTGAATCTTTTAAAAAGAGAGAGAACAGCATAAAATTTTGTTTGTTCATGGTTTTACATGACATAGAAGCCTTCAGATTGAAGACACAAAGATCCAGAGTGAAGTATTTATTTTTATGCTTATTTTTGATGAAACATTAACAGATATGTAGAAATATAATTCAACAAAAAAGTATGATCTAACTGAAATACACCGAGTGGAGAAATCCAAGAAAGTCTGTATATTCATATTCTTATCTGTGCAGAATTCCTTCCATCCAAGTATGGGGCAGAATCCTTTATGGAATGGGAGTCTTATCATCTGTTAGCAGGCAAATAATTTATTTATGGCCAGCACTAGGCAGAATGACCAAAGAATATTAGAGTAATACTTTAAGGATTTATGGCTTGCTCTGAGGGAAGAGGGG